CAGGCGGGGAATTGAATGTTTTAAATTAATGTCCCCATTATTTGCCCATGTGCCATCGATTATTTATTCTGCAGTTGCCCAGCATTCAGTTCATCCATCAGTTTGTCAGTTTGTCAATCAATCAAACTTACTCTCTCTCTCTCTCTCTCTGCCGCACACATGAAGTATGCAAAAACTTTCAACAAACAAGTTGATGGAATGCGAAAAGTTTTCACATAATTTCAGTTCAATGGGAAAAATATTGAATCCATATTTCATATTAACTAATTGGTATTGCTAAGGAAATTGAGCTGTGAATAAAAACTTATCAAATTAAATATTTATAATTATTTTGAGATTGATAAAAGTTCTGCCTTGAAAGGCACTGCCTAATGGGTTGTTAAATTCTAATTGGGTTTGATTTCTTTAAAGGACTTCTTTGTCATGTTTTAGATTCACTAAACTTTTCGAACTGCAGAGTTTGAGCTGCGAACGGAGAATGTAACTAAAATTTGAATGCAACTAAGGTTTAGTACTGATTTATAAATCCAAAGCGTAGTACTAGATCATAGAATTGGATCGAGCTGAAACCTTTTGAGCCCTCGGATCGCGATGCGCTAAAAATCATTGATTTCGCACCTATTGATAAGGTCGACTTGTGGCAAGGAAAAAAATTTAATAAAATAACAAGCAAAGTGGCATTATTTAATGCCTTCCTTCCGCAAGTGCGCATTGAGAAATGATTTCTGTGAGTGCGCAATATTAAGTGAGTGGAAAAATTCTGTTGAGATTGGACTGATGGGGGGTGGTGTTGGTGGGCAAACCCATTAATTCTGGCCACTGCGAAATATGATAACTCTTCTGTCATCCAATATTTGGCATCTCTTCGAGGTGCGATCTCTCTCTCTCTCTCTCTCGATGGTCCCTGTCGACTGAAATATGAGTCAATTATACTTCCGTACGCATAAATTAATGATTAATTGCAAAATAAATTGACTTGCGTCACTTAATTACGTAGCGCAAGCGACACTGGAGAAAGCTGATAGTGAAGGGGGCGCGCAGTTGTCACGCCCCGTGCAAAAGCCTGTCAGTCGTCCGCCTGTCAACGCACTCGCACATTGACACTGATGAAAATAGTTGGGTAATTCGTTTTCAGATAAATATAATACAAGGATAAGGTAAAACTGATCTCCTTACCAAATTCGTTAGTAAAAAGGTATATAAAGCTTAGTTATTTCAATTTTGTAGAAAAGGATATAAATCGTTAACTCTTTAAATTTGCCTATCAACTTTATGAACTATAATATCTACCTGTAACTATACCCAAATTTTCCTCAGTATCCACCAAGCGAGACAAACACATGCACAGAACGGCAATTTCTGCTGTTGACATTCACAGTCAAACATGCTTAATTAATGCCAGCAACGTTGCCATCAGTCGCCGGTTCCCCCTCGCACATTTCTCGACATTTTCCCAGTAAATGAGAGCCGGCGCAGTATGACAACATTAATGCGAACATTAACAAAAACTGCTGGCGCTGCCTACTGTGTTCCCTGTATACCCTGTACCATCATTCCCTGCCCTTCAGATCTCAGATGCCAGATCTCAGCGCTTCCAGCTCCCAAAAATAAACAGTCGCAGGCATCATCATCATAATAATGATACATGGCCAAGTCGAAGTCGGAGCTCTCGAGTGAGTGGCCCGATGGTACTTCGACGCCGTTCGTCTGGCTGCCAGCTTTGCTCCTTGATGAGCAGTTTCCGATGAGGACGGCAATGGCGATGGCATCCCCAGCCATTCCAAATCCAATTCAGACTTTCCTTCATTGTCTGGCAAGACTCCCCATAATTAAGCACAATCGAATACAGTGGTTTAAGGGTGCCATTAACATATTCTTTCTATCCCAAAACAAATTTATTTTTCTTTAATGGTATGTAAGTAGTAGCCTCTTTTATGTACATTTTGCTATGTTTTAATAGATAAATAAGATTAAGGAATACTAATATATTTAAGGAACTACCAAACTATAAGATAAATCTGAAATACGATTAATTTTCCTAAGATAAATGATACGATCTGATATGATATGAAAAATAATCCACAATAATCTAAATATAAATATAAAATATTCCAAATGTTATAACAAATATTAGAAAAATACCTAATAAAACAACTTTTTGCGATTACAATACCTTAACCTTAATTTACCCAATTAACCCTTTGGTTCCAATGTTCTTGAGGCACAAAAATCAATAAAAACCTTGCCGAAATGGCTTTCGCACCATTCCAGTTTATCCGATTTTGCTGGCTGGATTGAAGGGAACTTCAGGGGGATCGGAATTGGAAGAGGAACTGGGGGACTGGCGAGCAATTAACGCGGAATTGATACGCACAGCTCGGAAGGCATTGAACCTTCTTTTCGTCCGTCCGGAACAGAAAGGCGCCCAGTCCGCCATTTAAGCGTTGGCATTAAGACGTAATTAAAACAACGCCAAATGGGGAGCAGAGGACCCAGATCCATCGTTTTCCATTGAAAGAAGTAGAAGGAGGGTGAAGGAAGCTGGGCAACAAGGAGTCAAAAGATTATTTGTATTTAATTTCAAGTACGCTGCCAGGAAGCCACTGTCGTTGCTTCACAGAGACAATTTTACTTTGCTCGCTCCTCGTACATAAAACTCAATTATAATTAAGCATTTAAGTGGAAATAAGCGAAGCTGCGAGCAAATGAAGCGAACTTCTTTGCTCCATGAGAACTTCACCATGAGTTCCACGGGTCACGATGACAAGGATGCCCCCAACCACTCTGCCCATTTTTATTAGTGGTAGCCAACAGGAGCGGCAGTAGAGGCAGCAGCACCCTAATTGCTAAGAGCGCCACTCAAAGTTTCGGCAGGATAAGGATGGTAACTCGAGCATGAGGCGGTATTTAATTATCGTTCATCGCTCATCGCTGCCCATTTGTTCGAGGGAGGTTTTATTGGGCGGTACACTGGGAATAATTTAGGGCAGGTACGGGTGCCAGAATATTAAAACTCGATCTCGAACTCATTACCTCTTAGTCAGAACAAAACTCCTTATAACATAATGAAACATTTCTTGCAGTTCTTCTACAAACTTTGACCTTCTTTATTATACTTAATTTTCCTATCTGTATCATATTTGTTCTCTACTATTTGCCAGGATATTATTACACAATCGCAGGTTGCCATGCCAGTGGATTAATTGTTACGTTAACTCATTTAATTTGCTTGCATAATGCAGTGCTGCAAGCAGAAGCGAAAAAGTAGCTCAATTAACGAAATCAATGATAGGGTCAAAGTATCATGGCCAACTATGTATACGTTCTGGTCAAATGGGTCAACTATTTGGTAGATATTTATTTTTAAAACCCTCTTATTGGGCCAGTTAAGTATGTAAATATGTACGACAACTGACAACTGGCCAGAATGCCAAAATGGTAAATGGTAAATGGAAAATGTGAAACGAAAATGGACGGTTCAGGGATGTGAAATTTTAATGAACTTTTAAACGTAATGAAAGTAATTTTCAAATTGCAAGCACACCGAAAGAGGCAAGTCGAGAAGGGCAAAAGACGAAGGTATATGCGGCTTAACTTATATTTTTTTTTTATTTTTACCCCAGTGAAATTCAATTGCGGCAGAAGTCGAGCGAGCGCTGGCAACTTTTGTGCGTCCTTCAGACAGGCCAAGCAAAACCGTATCCGAGCCCAGAAAAAACCACCGCCCTCCCGCCAGAAAACACCAACCAACACCATCCACCCAAAAACCCAAAACCCAGTGGGCCACTGGGCACTCGAAATGATTTCGAAATGGCATTGAATGTAGCATTTAATTTGTGCGCCACAAGCGGCGGCGATGAGGATGAAGTTGTCGGTGGTCCTTGGGCCAGGTCCGCTGGTCTGCTCATGCCTGCTATTTATAACTGTTTATTTGCCGTGTGCCATCTGAAGTACACTGGGAGAAAGGTAGTTTGAGTGCTACTGAATTATAAAATTAAAATCAGTTATCTTTATAAACCTTAAGGGATTATTATTTTACATTTATCATAGACTTGATTAGAATTTTTATTTTTTGCAACCAACATTGTTTTTCTCTAGACCCTTTTTATTACTGTTCATTAGGAATGGATAAAAATATGAATAATTTTCTTCTTCCCCCAATTATCTGCCATTGTCCTTGTTTTTTTCCGTGCAACTGCAGCTTTGGCTCTGTCTGCCACTGAAAGGGATTAATTAAACTGACAACTGACGTCTGTGGGTGGCCACCGCTCCCTGTGAGTCCGCTTCGTTTGCAAAGTCCACAGTCGACTGTCTTTGATGCCCGGAGTTCGGCATAATTAGTTAAATGTGCTTGGCCATAACAATGCGGAGTGCCAGCCAACTTGCCAGCCAGACACCCACCCGCAACTCTTTTTGGGGCCGAGCTGGCATTTATTTTAATTTAATATATCCTGCCATAAAGATCATCGCAAACGCTGATGAAGAGAGCCTCTAATTGCCAAAATATGTAATAATTAGCCCCGGCCAAAAATATTAAATAAAATTAATTAAGTGTACAGCAACAGTGGCGGCAGCGGCAACAAATCAGCCAAGGATACCCCAGCGACTGCTTACATTTATTTGCAGTTAGTCATTTTGGATGTGTTTGCCCCAAACATATGCATATATATACGAGTATGTATATATCTTCTATATCATTCCCCCATTTTACAGCTGTAACCATGCAAACTCGCATGCGAAAAAAGCTTCTGACGCTCATTTGCCAGCAATTAAGTGCACAGAAAGAGAGGGATACAGTCATTTCAAATGGCGCCATCTGAACTTTGTCGATATTTACAGTAAATACTGAATAAAAAGGTTTATTGGATAATGAAAGATATGGATTTGATATAATTATTTAATGGCAATATGATCGTTTTAAAAATTTACAAAATATTTTTGTTGGAATTTATTAAAAAAAAAAAAAAATATTTTATTTAAAAAGCAAAACTAAAATCAAATTCATTAGTAAATATATTATTTATTTCATTAAATTTGTTTTTCCCTTAAATAAAAAACGTTCTTCTTATTCGAGCGGGGACTGTACTTGTGCGCCCTCATCCCTGTAACGAAGCCAGAAGCTCGTGTGCGCGCGTGTGGGTATTTTAATTAGAAACTTGTACATTTTGCCTAATTTGACAAATTGTTTTAATATAGTGTGCAAACTTTTCGGCTACATAGTGGCGCAAATTAGTTTTTCTGTTGCCCGGGAAATTGGGTCGGCTGATGCTGATGATTGAAAAATCCATCCATTCGATGCGCCAACAACGAATGCGCTAAAAGTTATGCAACACTTTGCCAGATTCGTTAATCCCGGGGATTATTGAAACGTAGGGCTCGCCCATTAAAATGGTAATTTCATGCAACAAGAAAAACTTCCTGTCCAGATCCACAAGTTCAAATGTGTGCTCAGCGTTTTAATTATTTCAGATGTTGTTGGTAGTTGATTGAATGGTCTGGGAAAATATGTATTTGCGCAGCTAATTGACTGTTAGCCAGACCCCAAAGGAATTTGTAATATTTATGCCCTAACATGAAACAATTTGCAGTATTTTATCTTCACTTTTTTGGATTGGTTTTTTTTTAAAACGAAATGCTTTTTGTTCCCATTTCCGGATATTTATAAATTCGTATATTTATCAAGTATTTAACCCAATATCGTGCCGTATATTAATTGCAGTTTTTGATGATTTTTCCTTCATGATTTGCTTTTCCCCATTTGCAACCCAATTCATCATCAAACGGATTATTTTTGGCCATGGCAAAATAAACAAGTGATTTGTGAGATTTTCGCTTGCACACATTTTACTTTATAGTTTTTGGGCTTTTGTTTACAATAGTTCTTGCTACTCTTGGAAGTGGAAATATATTAGTCAATTAAAGCAATTGCCAGAATGTAAACTAGAAAATGTGAAAGGAAATTTGATTGTCATTCCGAAAATTTAAATTTAATTCGAGAGAAAAGCCTTTGATTTCGAAAGATTAGATGTACGTTTGGCCAAATGACATTTTACCAAATTAAAAAGCTAATAAACTTATAAAATTTGTAAATACTATGGAAAGTATGTAGACCTTAGTTTAGGATTAATCTTCAGGCTCTGTTTCTTCTTCGATGGTTAACCTGTTGAAGAGTTCATTAAGTTGATCCTTTTTCTGAGCCATGGCCAAAGCACGTGGAAAGCGTTCTGCCCAAGCTTCTGGATGAGATCTGACCAGTACCTTAAGTGAAACTTCCACAGAATTTCTGATATCCTTTTCCGGACTTTCATGATAGAGTAACATCAGATCCATGGCACGTTTAACGAAAGCATCCCAGACTTCCTTCTCATGTTCTGCTTCCGTCTCGGAATCACTGAACTTGGGCTTCAGTTTACCCACAGCCAAAGCAGCCAGGACACGGATACCAGCCGAAGGATCATCCATGCGCTGCATAGTGGCATAAGCCAATGGCTTCAAGTCCTCCACGGACATATCACGGAAGTAAACTACCGCCTTAATGGCATAATGACGAGTTGTGACGTTACGATCTTCCAGTAAACCTGGCATATGTTTGGCCAAAGAGGGCAGAACTTCTGCAGACTCAGACTCAGCACCCTGAGCCAAAGCACATAGTGTAGCCATGGCCAGAGATCTCATGGCCTCGGCATTAGAGCCAGCTTTCCAGGTCAAATAGGGTTCCACAATTTGCGAAACAAACTCACTTAATATCTGAGTGCTACGCTCACGTTCGACGTTCATAGTTTTTGACCAAAAGAGCGTTGCCACCGAAAGACTACTGAAGATTTTCACTTGAGCACTATCGCAGCAATGCTCAAAGACCAGCTTAACTTTCTCCATAAGATCAGCAAAATATGTATCTCGAATTAAGGCCATATTTATCAAACCATCTAGCATCATAACAGGCTCTGAATTTTCTTCCAAAGCTGCATCCAGATTCTCCACATCCTTCAGGGCCAAATGGAACCAACGTTCGTGAATTTTAGCAATCGTAGTTTTTTCAAGATCCACAATTCTTTCGATCAACATTTGACCGCGGTTAACATCTTCATTTCCATTACTGTTAATGGAATATGATAGGGCCATAACCTTAAAGGCAGTTACGTAGACCGATTCATAGAGTTCCATCAGCTCATCGTATCCCGCATCTATTTGCAGCGATTTATCTATTATGGTATCCAATAGTTTTAGTATATAAAGTTGGAAAGTTGGTTTTAATGTATGAGAGTAATCGGTGGTGCGAAGAAGCTTTGCCAATTTCAGCAGTTGATCATATGTGCCACCCAAGGCAGAGGTAAACATGTGGTAAAAACATCTCATATAGGACTCACGAGCAAACCGTTCCAGACCATCGAAACCATGATCAATCCAGGCATCGTAGGACAAGAGGCGACCCATTAAGTCAGCCACCTTAGCAGCTTCGGCACTAACCTCTGCCACAGGATCGATACAGGCATGGGCCAAATCACCGTAGATTTCAAAGAACTTGGCCGTCATGGCAGCCTCAGCATGTAAAACAAATTGGTATAAAAGCTTTAAAGCATGAAGACGAACATTATCCTTCCAGTCACTAGTTTCTCGAGTGATAAGTGACAATAATCTGAGAGAACGTTGCACCAACGCTCGGCATCCTATAGTTGGACGCTTTACATTTTCTGGATAATTTTCTGCCGGCAGATCGCTGATTTCCTGTTTCGTCAACTCGGCTTCATTTTCATTGAAATACAGTTTGCCACACTCTACCCACTGTGGGTAGATGTGATTCAGAACCTCGGGGGATTCATCTTTCAGACAGCAAAGAACCAATGGTAAAATTCTCTCGAAGAAGGAATAACGATCCAAAAGCTCCATTAACATAAGTATACCCATCTGTCCAACTTCTCGCCGAACCAAAGGCATTGTGTCCATTAGAAGGGGGGATACCTCATTGAAAAGCCGCCTCATTCCTTCACCACTGGCGTCCATGTGCAGACTAAGTCTGCCGATGGCCTCAACAGCTGATATTCTGGCCTGAGCATGCTTGTGATTCAACATGCCATATAGAGCTACCAGTAGTGAATCTATATGGGGACGCAGTTCAAGGGATTCTGCCACACGGGCGAGATTAACTAAGGTTGTGCATCCTTCACGCTGAACCACGGGATACTCATCTTTGATTGACTTGATTAGGATCTTGACCACCAGTGGATAGCATTCCCTGAAGACGCCAACATTTCCCATCTTGGCATATTGGCATACCATCAAATTTAGTTGACTTATGTACTGCAGACGAATTTCCTCGCTAGGCTCCACGGTCTCAGCCTGTCCCATACGCTCTGCCAATGTCGACACAACATTCATTAGGTGGAAATCCATGGGCGGTAGTATGCCTAGAAAAGCATTTACCGCTTGAACGGCATGATCGCGAACGCTTTCGAAACGATCGTGATAGGATTTCAATAGATGCAGGTAAAGTTCATCAAAAATATCAGCCAATCTTTCCGTGCTCACGCTCTTCGGGGAGTCTTTTATCTTGTCACGGAGGTCACCCAAAACGGTGGTTTTTTGTCGCCTGTCGGTGCCCTGTAAGTCCTCACAAATCTTCTGGGTGTCAATCTCGAAGTCCATGGTGAAAATATTGTTTTAAAATAAATCAATTTTTTCTTAATAAGTTAGTTATTTCTCTGCCTGTGGTATTCTTCCTACTTGTAGACCTCTTTTAGGTTTTTTTAAAGTTGTTCTTTTATCAAACAATGTGTATCTCTGAAGGCTATTTATTTTTTAATTTGAATTTATCAGCTTGTTTTTGAAGATTTGAAATATTGACTTCCGTTTCTAGATATTCATGGCTGTAGGTGTTGATGATTTATTTTTCAATACAAAGATACTTTCACAGATGATTTTTAAAACTTTACCGCTCCACAATTCCAAAGATACTTTTTTGCCGGTTGCTTACGAGCTGCGTGCGTTTTCAGTTAGTTGCTCTCTCTCAGCTTTTCTAAACTGCAAAACGAGAATGTTGAAACGTTACTAAAACAACAAACACACCGGTTGCTATGACTACTCAAAAGATAACGTAGTTATTGTACTTTTCCTACATTTATTTTTGTTTATTTCGCCTAAACAGTAATTTCACGTCAACTTGCCACAAACAAAATGCCAAACTGATCAGCTGTTTTTTGTTTTCCGAAAAAAGTGCTGTAAAATGTGACAGAAAAGTGCTGGTAAGCTTTGTTATGGCGCGAATTTTTAAAAAAGCTTTTGGGTGTTGTCTTTTTTTTTTTTTAACCGGCTGTCGTTTATTTGCCAAGCTAATTAACCCGGGCCATAAATGAAATTTCTGTGGAAAAGAGCAAAAGGTAGGAAGGCAGCCAGGCAGCAATTTAAGCGGCTGTCTTTTTATGAGTTCGACTCTGGGCGGCGATCCATAAAATAAAAGTTTTCTGTACCGCCCGTGGCTCATTTGGGCCTTATCTTCGAAGCGGGCTATCTAATTGCGTTGTCGTTCCTTATCAACATCAGTCCAACAGAACGACAATATCTAAGATTGATTGCCGGCACAATAGTTTACTCAGCAACAAACCGACCAACCGACTGACTGACTGATGGTAGAAAATCACATAAAACGTCTATTTTTATCGCAACTTAATTGCATTTGTGGGTCACCAAAATTAGGGTTATAATGAGCAAACATAACAAAAAAAAAATTAGGGATTGATCGCAGATAACCAGAAAAATGGCAGTATCGATATCGGATCATATTATAATTAACCAAGTTGGGCGATTGATACCAATTTGGGCAATCTCGTGGGAAGATCGATCTTTTGAAATATTTGATTACAGTGAATTTGTATAATCGAAAGCGGAGGTTTTATTATTATTTAAAATAAACAACTATTTAAATTACAGATGTCATTCTGTGATGGCAAACATTTTGTTTACAAATTTATTATTACCGAGAATTAGTTGTTTTGATGAGGTAATATTTCTGAATTTATTAAAACATAGTTGATTGTGTTATCAAGGTGTTTAGTGTTTTACACTTATTTTCAAACTAAATAAGTAATCTTACTTAATTTAAGCGATTTAGATTATTAAAAATCATGTTTTTGTTTCAATTATTTTTCCTGTAACCTCTTTTCCAACCTCTCAATTTAAAGGTCAAAAATTTATTGAAAAGGAAAGAAACTTTGGCCCAGATGTCATTTATATTATTTCAATGTTATGATAAGATAAAAAGGTTTCTCAACCCTTTAATTCAAAAATCTTTCGCACTGTGGGAATTTTGAAGACCTACCATTTTTAACTCGTTATGAAACCGAAAATTACGGAATGTTGCTGTGGATATTAATCCATTAGATTTTGAAGTATAGAGACTGACTGCCTATCCCGATGTTGATCTTTCCATTTGAATTTCATTTAATGCCCGTGAGCGTGGAGTATTGATACCCATAATCGTAGGGAGGAAGGGTATATTGTTTTCATCGAATGGTGTTTAACATGAAGAGGGAAGAAAACTGGCTTTCTGCTGCGAGTTAATTCATTTCGGAAGTAATGGGTGTATGATAATTGCTGCGCATTTTCTTTTTGTTTTCCCTCTGAGCTTAAAATGCTCTCCCACATTACCAGTTCTCTAGTTGTCATTCTTAATTAGTTGCACTCTTAAATGTTTTTGGGTTAAAGAACGTTAAAAAGTGTTAAAAGTAAAGGGCATTCCATAGTCGAGACCCTCAATACTGTCATATCTTCTTGTTTTTCTTGTTTTTATTCAATTTCCCTTTCGTTATCCCATCATCTGTAGGGTTGCCGGCTAGATTGGCGTGCCCAGTTTTCGCTGGGCATATTTTATGAACGTTTCTCTTGCACTCTCCTACCTACTGTCAAAAATTGTTGTTGTCATTTTTATTGAAAGCCAGCGCGCGGATACTGCAGATACATCGGGGCAAACACACATATACTCGTATATAGAGATACAGATACAATGGCGAACTCATAAGTTTTTGCTGCTCCCATTTGTGTGCACAATTCGATTCCATACCTTTTTGTGTGCGACGGCAGGCGGCACACGCTCCAAAGCAATTAAGCGCATGAATCAGGTTCGTTCGGTTTTTCAGGGCAGGGCAATGTATCTGAGTATCTCGGTATATGAGTGTATCTCTGTAGCTGTATCTGTAAGAGCGGCATGCGTTTTTTATGGGCAACAGACACCGGCACAATAAACTTAATTGATATGAAATGAAGTCATTTGGCAAAATCACTGGGAGAGTAATGGACCGCGCTCATTCAATTTGATTTGATGTCGGCCAGTTCAGCTCGACAACAAAGTTATACATACATATATATTGTGCAAATTTATATATATATAATATATATATAGATATTTTATTTTTATTGGCTTTTCGAAAGCAATTGAGCATATGCGGTATTTACATACATCTGCATATGCATCATGTGCCTGTGCATGTGCGTTTTTGCTGGCCAAAAGAGCGTTTTCAATTAAAAGTTACATTTTTTTCCCCCATAGCGCCGGCAAAGTACGGAAGCCGTCTGAACTGGTCTCACCAGTAGTTGCAGTTGTTTTTGTTGTTGATGTTGTATCTCTATAAGTCTGCAGATAAAGCCAAAAAGCAAGCAACTTGGCTCATAATGGTAATAATTATTAATTAGATGCATATATATCGGCAAAACTAGCTGGCGGTCCAATTTGCCCCGCTGTGCGAGCCACTTAAATGGACTTGTTACTCAGCTCTATGGAGAGTTGAATGCAAAATGCAAATTTGCCAATTGATATTGATTGAATTGCAAGCTGCACTGGCCTGGCTAATTAGTTTTATTTTTTTCCCATTTTTTTTCCTTTTTTTTTGCATTCTGTCCGCTTAAGTGAATGACAACCAAACGCGTCACTTACTTCGGACGACGGACTTGTACTCGATTGAGTCGATTTCTCAGAATCGCTGATTAGAAATGTTTCTAATGGCTTGACTTTTGTCGCACTTTTGTGCCACATGGAGCTTTGCAGTAGGGTCCTCTTCTTGGCTTCCCCTCTCTCTAAAAAAATATATATATACATTTAGGTTTGTAGGCACCTCCATCCGGACCCCAGTTGGCAGTTCATATTAATGTGCGCCGTTTAATTGCGTGACTCATCAGCTATAATCGCCGTCTGCCGTCGTCGTCGTCGTGAATCGAGCTGGTTTGCTTATTTGCCGGAGCTGTCTGTTAGGTACTGTTGTACTGGTGTACTTGTAAGTCCACTTTGAGACCCAGGAGGGGATCGGATTGAATCCCGGAGACTGGCTCTTTGAGCTCCAGCCGCTCGGCTTCTGCTCTTTGAGTTGTGTGATTAAGAAAGCTCCGGCTCGTAATTAATAAATAACTGAACTGGCAGGCAAATGAGGTTCTCAAATGCCAAATTGATATTGATCACTTAAGGAGGATCAATGCTCTAGTTTCAGATTTATGTTAATGATTTTTGTATATATATGTATATTTTATATATTAACATTACTTAATATGTTGGTCAAGTTACTAACTGTAGCTAATCATTATGTAAAGAACTTTTATAAGCTAACAAAATATTAATTTCCTAAAGATTACATCTTTTATTGTTGAAACAATTTCCTTCACATATTGAATTGAAATTGGTGATTAAGCATATCAAAAATGTATAGATCCGATTAATGGCCTATAGACCCATTTGTTTATGCATTCTGTTTTCAATATGGCCATTGCATTGTTTTCATTATTTGTTTATTCTCGTGTTATTAGCGTGAAAAATGCAGGCAGCCTGAGTGTGATTGTAATGAGAGCTACAAATGCTTTTCTGTTTTTATGCATATAATTTTTCCTATTTACATTTTTGCGTAATCGCCGCGAGACCCATTCAAATGCCAAATGGAATTGAGCCCGTGTTCTGTTTGTGCAGTCGCATAGTTTCCACTATATATATATATATATAGATCCAGACTGACCAGTTCCAGTTCCAGGCTATTTCATGCCATGGCAATCCATTCATTCATCGCGTCAAGTGTCAGGCCGTCTGTCAGTCAATCAGAAAAACGGTTTGAGTAACAATTTAATTAATTTCAGTACGAAATGTGAACCTGTTGTGCCACAGATATTAGATACCATACATACACACACACACACATACTCGTTCATAATTCTGTGGCTCTGAATGAAATTGCCTTTTAATTATGCCTAATAGTCGTGACATGACTCAATTAAATGCCATATTCGGACCATGACTGGTACAATTTTGGACTGAAACTGAACTTTATCCCATTCTGCTAGATATCAGAGATTCAGAACTCTTCCAAAGGGAGAAAGCTCGTTTAGCACTCTTATTAGTTTTTGTTATCTCTCATGGTATGGTAATTAACACAAACACTGACACAGGCTAAGTATGTATTGTGTATCTGTGTAGGGAATCGTGTTGTATGGTAAGCTGAATACATAACCATAAGTGTGGTACTCAAAGATCAAGTGATTTTTGGAAACTTGGAAGTTAGGAAGTGGGGGTTTAAGCTGGTGTTAGCCTTGTTAAGGCAATGGTTAGGCAGGGTTACATTTCTTTTCAAATAACGTTTATTTTGTTTGCAGATTTTCGGTACCAATTGATTATCTATCTACCTAAAAACCCATAAATCGTCCCTTGTTTACTTACAAATAAATGCACAGTCATTGATAATTCGGTTTCTTTTTGCGTTATTATGTGTCCCGGTAATCATTTGTTTACATTCCGTATAGTTGCGGCAATTGACAGTGCAATGTTTCCCCCGATTGCGATTACTAAAACTGGTAATAAATGGCAGAGTGCTGAGCCAGGGCATATGTATGTTCAATCGAAAATGGGCTTGGGAAAGGGAATGGGAATGGTAATGGTAATGGAACCCGAATAAATACGAATTTTCAGCATACGAATTTTAAGCGTCGTCATCAATACAGTACAGTATAGAACAGGAAAACACACAAAAATCAACAACATTTACAAGAGCTGGCGAAAAGCGGCGGCATCATCATGAAATTGAAATTAATTATATGTCAACAACGTGATTACAGAGAAATTTAACTAATTTGATGTGGCTGATTTATACAGAGCTAAATGGGTTGATAAGATAAGATTTTAAGTAATTTATCGTGTTTCGATGGTCAATTAATTTTGAATCGAATGTTTGACTTTCTATTTGCACTGATATTTATTTGAAAGCAAAAAAAAAAAAAATAAGAAATACAAACTAATAACTGTGGAAATTTTTAGAGAAGGCTTAATTTATAAAATAGATACCTGGTTGTTATCTCATGTAAAATGTTTACTTTTTATTTTATGACACTTTTGATAAGCAGATCCCCATTAATATTTTAGACGTGTCATGACGATATCAATGTTTAAATGATTGACAAGGAAAATATATATTTATTAGGTTGCTTTTAATGGAAGTTTTTGAGCAAAAAATAGGAAAGAACTTTGTAAAGTAACTGGAAAATATTCAGTTTGCATTTTTATATGGGTTTTAATAAGATAAGAAGATACTATCGTATTTCATTATTCATAATGTATTAATAGATATATAAAAAATTACATAAAATGTCTAATATTTTTGATCTAATTATTTTTAAATATTTTAATTACTTTTACAACCTTTTGCTGCATTAGAAAGTATTAAAAAGTGGCATAGCTTGCATTTTGTAATTGAGATTAATTCTTAGGTCAAGGGTTGATAGCTGACTATACGGTGATTCCCTTGAATCTGCTTTGCCTTAGCCCTAGCCCTTTAGTACTTAGTACCTGAAAATAGTTTAAATAACACACGCCTAATATGTGCACTGATTAGGATCTGTAAAAAACAAATTAAATTTTTCACACTGTTTGACTTGGGCCTGACATTGGAAATTCCCCGAAAAGTTATTTCAATAAATTAACAAGATTTGAGGAAAATATATTTAAATTAAAGATTATCGGCTGCTTACAACGTTGCTTACCTGTAAGAGGGCCACTCGGGCGGTTGTTGATTGTATCCGAAAGATTCAAGGTGGGTGAAAATCCAATTAAACGATTTGACTCCCTTGGCTTGTATTGTGGTTGGGTTAACGCTTTTTATGGGTGAACTATTTATAGTTTGGGTTTCAAAGGTCACCTTAGGTGTGGGTGGCGCTGCTTCAGTTTAATTTCTTTTGGTTTCCTTTTGTTTTCACTGTTTTGTTGTTATCCTTTTTGCCGCTCACTTTTTACCCGCTGACGCTTTACATGGCTCGTTGGTTTCGCTGCTGATTATAATCCTTAATTAGTCTAACGAGTTGCAAATTAATCCACTTTCCCTAATTAAATTGCCTTTGCCGCGGAAAAAAAAGAAACACAAAACGCAACTGCCAATGGCGGTGTCATTTAAAAAACAACAAAAAAAAAAGAAATGTATAAAAAATTGATAAATGAAAGAAAAAGGAACAAAAAGAGAAGGGGGCGGTAGGGAGGTAAATGTAATTAATTCATTAGCCTGCCAATTGACAATTATTGATTATTGTTTTGCCTTTGCGTTTGCGAATTAATTTTAATGTATTTTGGCTGGCTGTTTTTGAGTTTAGCTGCACAATTTGTTATTGCCCGCACGTCGTTCATTTATTTAATTTTTAATTATTTTGAAATGCGTTCTGGTTTCATAATTGGCAGCCCATTGTCTTTTCCATCTCGTTCTCGCTGCATGTTTTATGCCTTTGCAATTTAATTAAATTTATTTGTATCCATTTATTTATTGTGAAACAATATGCAAAAGCCGAATCGCAACCCTGTTTTTGGTTCATTTGTCTTTGGCCATTTGCCTCGTTAAAATATTGAAAATGTGGCGAAATTTTTGTAAATTGGCAAATGCGCTTAACAATTGCATTTAGCCAAGGCACTTAATTTGTAACGAGAAAATCTGCTGGCGATATTTTTAAATCTCTCTTTAATTACAATGATTTTCATGAGCAGTTTTCATGAATACTTTGTATATATTTAAATGAATAGAAATTGAATTTAAATGAAGGAAAATATTGTACCGACGGAACAGATTTTTAGTTGAAATTTAGGTTAGGGATAATGAGGTCGAATTGTCTGAGTTAATATTCATTGCTTTGTTTGGCATTTAACTGGGTTTTTGTTTAATTGTTTTTACTTTAAACGTTTTTATTTGTTGTTACTGTTGCTGTTGTGTTTTTATAAGCATTTTGACCGTTCCGACCATAATAACTTGAACTTTTTCGGGCACTTAAATGGCAGCTTAAGCGCTTTATAACCATTATATATAGTTATTTATTTACTTTTACTTATTTATTATTAATACGAAACGAGAGGCGAGCGGCAAGCGGCAAGCGGCGAATGGCAACGGCAAACGACAGCATTTATGGCTTGGTTAACGTAATTAATGGGTAACGAACACACGGCCGGCCATAAAGTGGACTTCAATTACGATTGAGCGAATGCTTTATTTATAACACCTTTTTGCCAACTGAATTTAATTGAGTAATTGAAATATTTTTGTGCAAATGAAAATTTCCTTTTATGTCCACACGCTTCATAATTTATTTATGAGAGAATCTACAAGTATAGATGTATAGATATATATATCTCTTTATCTATATAGTTTGTGTGCCATGAAATGAATTGAAAATCAATTGGCAGCAGTGCGGCTGCGTAACCTGTCAGCGCGGTTTTTTCGTTGACAAATTGGCCGGCGAGCGTGCGAACCAGCAAAGACAAAAAAGATACAGCTACAAAATACTGGGAAACAAGAACAACAACCAGACTGGAGGTGTGAGCGAGCGGTTAAAGTATCTTGCAGATACACCAGCCAGCAATTAGCGTCAATCGACAGAAGTGCCTACTTATTGTCCGGTAAAAAGATGTCGTTCGTTCTGTGTGTGTGAGCTGCTACTAAGCTACTACCAAAAGCCTAAATTGCTGACCATATAAACTCGATTGCTGATTGCCGATTTGCCGTCGGTGGGAATATCGAGCGTTGTCGCACAAAAAAATAAACAAATTAATGGGAAATGCCAAGCAAAAAAAGAACACAAAACACAAAAATCATAAAAGAAATGAGCGGCGGGCAAAGAATCCCCATACCAGACCGATATATAAATACCATATATATATATATATATATATATATATATATATATATTTATGGGATATCGCATAATGGCGCTTGACGTTGCTCTTGCCGCGCTAATTCTTTTGACCAGCAAACGCGACAATAACAAACAGACGAAATGCTAATTAGTTTCATGTGTGACTAATGGACACAAAAGCGGCACAAACACACTCGCACACACACACACGTTCGTTCACACACAAAACAGCTCAGATACAAAGATACACATGCGTGACTTCTTTTCGTTGTTGTTATGGTTGTTATTGCCGTTTGTTGTTGTTGCTGTAGTTGCTGTTGTAGCACACACTTAATTAAAATAGTACACTCTCTGAGGGGGTCGATTGTTCAGTTTACCAGTACCATTCCTTGTATGGCCTCATGCCTAATTATAATTACGTGGCGCGTAAATTGAATTTGACTTTTAGACCCCGCGGTCAAACGATTTACCGGCAATTTTCGGTGTTCTTCGAGGGTTCTTCTTTCGCCAAAACGAAGCACACAGAGCGAAAAAAGCGGGTTGAGTTCTTTTTTTTTTTCAAAACACACACAGAAGTTGAGTCGACAATCCGATACCGATACCGAAAACACCGACCGGGACCACGACGGCAGCGATTCTGAACGACTTCTGAGTGCGAGCGCTATAAAGCACGAAAACGACGTTGTCGACAAACGACGACAACAGCAACGACTGTTGCTGATGTTGCTGCTGTTGCTGATGTTGCTGTTGCTGCTGCTGCTGTTGCTGGCGTGCTGCTAATGTTGCTGCTGTTGCTATTGCTATTGCTGCTGTGCCGCTTGTGTGAACTGCGCCGTGCAACTATTTAACGACGACTGAATGTGGCAATTATGTATCTAGATACATTTTGGCCAAGCACGTCTGTGTGTGTGCGGGGGTTGCTAAACGAGGGAACCATCATAAAACATATTACTATAATTACAATTACGGTGCTCTCACAGCTCACAGCTGAGAGCGACAGAGATAAAGCTACAGATACAGATACATTTACAGATACCAATTCATATACGTATATGTATATAGATACATATACAGATAAAGATACAAACAGTTGCCGCGCACGTGAACATAACGCACGGCAATAAAACACGAATTTTCATATGCATTACGGCTTAATTGTATCTCGTTGTTGAACGGTGAGATATATTATGTGTGCCTGTGTGTGTGTTTAAAGCTCATAAATTTCTGGATGTGCTGTTGATGTTGCTAGCGTTTAAGCAACATGTTGCTGGCGGGATATTGCCTCCGTCAACGACGTCTTTGTGTATCTTTGGCTTGATTATTAAATGCTGAATGTGTTTTATTGCTTTGATTGTTGCTGCCGGAGCGCAGCGTCTCCTTACAGAGAGAGAAAAAGATTGAAATTAAAATCAATATACATAAGATATAAACGTAGTTATCTTATATCTTTCTATTTTATTTTGACTTTGTGAAGATTCAATATTTGAATAACTACTTTGATTTAGAATAAATAATTTAAAATTTTCTTCATGTGCGTATCTTTCTGCATTGCAAATTGCCGACGTTGCCTGCGTTTGAGTTTGTTTTTAATTCTCTATAATTGAGTTATATGTACATACTTTAATAAGTTGGCGGCGGATGCTGCTGATGCTTTTGTTATTGCCATTGCTATTGCTCTAGGGAGTTCATGTTGCTGCCGTCTATGTTGCTATTGCTGTTGCTGCTGTCGTTACCGCTGTTGTTGCGACGGCGTTTAGCGCTAATTAATGCTGAGCCAACGGCTTTTCAATGGTTTTTATTGCTTTCGGCCTTTCGGTTCGCTGGCTTTGTCTTTCTCCTCTTAATTGCTCACCGAGATTTATTATTTGATTAATTATTGAGATTTCGTTGCCATATTCACCGCTCACATTTCGTATCGTATCGTATCGTTTCGTTTCGTCTTCGCTACTCTTTCCAATTTCTTTAAAAGCTTTTGCTTTTGCTTTTCCCTTTGCTGTTGTTGGCAATAATTGGTGTATAATTTCATTTCCTGAGAACGTCGCTTTGGGTCACCGCACACACAAAAGCCATTCATTGTCTTTACAGGAATGTCGTAATTCAATTTGTGTGGCTGTTAGTCAGCAATGTATGAGTGTGTATGTGTGTGTGTGTGCCTTTTTCTTTTTTGTTTAATAATAATTATAAGTTGTACCGGGGGCCGACAGCTCAATTAGCTATAAGGGTGCGATTATTAATGGGCGATGTTATGCTTTTGATAAGGCCAATTACTCACGATTGCCATATATTTATATTTGGGTTATCGCGCCAGTTCTATATATATTTTCGCAAATGATTAATGCCGATTCAATTGTGGTCAAACGATAATAACAAAAAAAAAAGTATAAGAATTTATTGCAAAAAAGCAAACTGCCGGATGAACCGAAAATGAACTCTTCCCTCATCTTATCTCAAGAGCAACAGTTTAAGCTTCCAGCATCATTAGGGAAGTGAAGCCACAATAACAATGGCCAGGCTATGAGTGCCCTGATTGCTCATTTAAATTGTACGGGCTGCAAATTGAATTGAATTGGGTATTCGCTAAAAAGGGATTGAAAAGGGCAACGGCGGTGGCGGCGAACTAAAAATAACTGCGAAAATATGAAACGAGAAATAACATCAACAAGATGCTGATGTTGCTGTTGCTGCCCCTGGTGCACAAGACGAAGATGAAGCAATTTAGATACACTTGAATAGAAGCACGACCAGCAGAAATGAGCGGAGAGTCGTGGAAGTCACTTCAAATAAACAAGGCTACACAGGGAATAATATTTGCCAGTCTAACATTTTAAATTTCCATTATGTTTATTGACATATTATTGTAATAAAAAAGAAATAAATTTGATGACAGAATTTCCTGGGAAGGTCTTGTATATTTGAAATTCAAATTTGAATTTAGACAAATGATAATAACAAACAAATAAAGGAACACAATTTCTGGAGA